ATCCTCTGCTCAAAGTGAGACTCTCATAATTTTACTCTGACCAGGGACATTCACTGAAGACCAGCTGGGGAAAGGAAAATGGGGTGATAAGGAGACAGTGACCTAGCTACTGCTTTACAGAGCCTCTTTTAAGTAAGATGCACAGCTTTTTTCGTCTTACCTTTCTACAGATTTCCCACATACTGTATCCCATTTGTCTCTGAGTTCACTCAGCATATCATCCAGTTTCAGATTGTCATCAGCTAGGGAAGTTTTTTCTTTCAAAGCACGTCCACTTCTATTTGTGGTGTCATACACAGAATGTTTAGCTCCAAGAGCCTTCTGGAACTCCTGTTCAAGAAAGGGACCCAATATGAAGCACACAACACACATAACCTACACTGTGCCATTTGGAGATGAAGACCACACTCACATCATGGTAAGCCATAAAGCATGGCCCTACAATGCATGGATGAATTATGCCCACTTCACTCTTCCCATCTCATGTGCAGAGGAAACGAATCAGCTACGATCCCTGGCTTAGTGTTACTTCTGAACCAGGGATCATGGTTTGCTTCTCTCCCAACAAACCACAATTTCTAGCTAAGCTCCGCTTTTGGCTTAGCACTCATGGCTTGTTGACAGTGAAATAAAGCATGATCCCAAAGCCAAGGATCGGGGTTTGAGTCTTCTGTGTATTAGTAGGGAGGAAATAAACAGCCCAGCTAGGCATGTTCATGGTCAATCATTATCTATGATTTATCAGATGTGTGAACAGGGCCAAACACAATGAATGAGATTTTCATACAAACTACATCTAGCAAGGAAACATCATGAAATGTCACTGGGACATTTAGATTCCAGAACCCGCTGGCATTTATTCCAGAATATACCTCGTGTCCCTGGGATCAATAAGACTATCAATCAGATGACTTTAATTGAGCAATTAAAATAAGTTATGCAAGAGAAATGGTAGCAAGGCATTGGTACTCAGCTTGAAGTGATAGTCCACAAGTTTGGACTGTCTTCTACAAAGCATTTACACCAAATCACTAGCATTCAAATCAATGTCCATGTTAAATCATCTGAAACCCAATACCTTAGGTTTACTGACTTATGGACTAGAATAAAGAAGCTACACTGGAAAATATTATTCCATTCTTTACCATTAAAAAAGGAACATGACAAACCTTAGGTTATCTTGCATTCAGTACACTACTTAAGAAAGTATTAAATGCTAAATACTACAGAGAGTGAGTGCCCCCCATGTAAAGAATGAAATGCTTGATTATTTCTGTATTGCTATCTTCTCTGGAGTAGGGCTGTGCTAAGATTATCAAGATGTACATCTATCATGCTTTTGCAAGAAGGCACAAATAAGGAATCCACCAAAGAAATGCTGGTCAGTAAAAACGCAAGACTCAATTTTGTGAATTCTTTGGTGGCTCTATCATTTACAAATATTCTCTGGAATGAAACTCACAAGCAATTACAGTCACTGAATAAAAAAGAATTATCCTACCAATGTCACTTCTGTAAAGTAAATGGAGGTTGACTCGTAATGAGGTGCATATTAACCTAAAAATGGGGGGGGGGTAGCTGATGTGGTGACCTAAATATGATTTGGACCTCCAATAGCCCCAGCCAACATGACAAATGGTCAGGGATGATGGGTGTTGTAGTCCAACAATTTTTTGAAGGATACCCCTGCATTAAAATATATCAATATTCTTTTTTTAAAAAAAAAATCCTTGAAAAAGGGATTAAGACAAACTACACGGCCCATTCTTTCTTCACTGACTTCTAAATATAACATGCAAAGAGCTTGGTGGTGGTTGGGGACTGATAAAAAGGCAATGAATACTCCTTCAAATCTTTGGCAATATGTAACAAATATGAGACAGCTCATTTTTAAAATCTTCATTTCTCCTTATTTGACAAACTCCCAAAGAATGAAGCCAAGTTATTCCATATATCAAATACAGCCTAGTCTACGGTCTTTAGCCTTAGATACTAAAAGCATTAAAACCTTCAACAATGGCTCAGTGGTTTACTTTATAAAAGGAAGATTGAAAACATGAAGCAACCAAAGGCATGCAACATACAAATATTTGCTAAGAGGAGTAGCTAGGATTTTTTGAGGGTATTTTATGACTGTATCGGGGGAATGAGAGGTTAATAGAGGTAAACAAGTCAGTATGTTTCCAGTGTGTGTCAGTTTACCAAATGCGCATTCATAAATCCATCCCACCCCTTTTCTGAATTATTCTGCATTTTTGAATTTAAAAACAACATGAAAATTTGAATTTCTTCTAAAAAAAATTCTAAAAATGTTTTCCCACAAAAGACCCATTTCTAAACATACTAGTTGCCAGCTAAGTGTAAAAATCCAGTCCCAGAAGTAGACTGGTGGCCATTCTGAGGTTTTTTAAAACTCAAAATCCTTCCAGAATGCACATACTGATGGGATTATCATCTGATCAGGGGCGAGGTCTATAGATCAGTGGTAAGACCCATCCTTTGCATATAGAAGGTTCAGTTCCTGGCACCTCCAGGTATAGAATATTCCTGTGTGAAATCTGTGTGAAATCACATCCAGTTTGGTATAAGGCAGCTTCTGGTGTTCAGAAAAGGCAGTGGCAGTCATAATTAAGCAGAGCTGCTGGTTGATATGAATCCACTTGCGCATTATCTTTTATTTATAGTAATGATCTTACCCATTCATCTAGTCAAGACAAGTTTTAACACCCTCTACATCCATATAGAGTCTTTGGCACTAGGACTCAGTAAACTGTGTATGATGAAGGGGAAAGTGCTGAAAGCTAATTCAAAGGCCTCAACAGTCAATTTTATTCTATTTAACGAAGTTCACACACTGTTTGATTGTAATAAAACAAGGAATATTAAAAGTATCAATAAAAACAGCTAAAACAATAAATAAAAATTAGAGATAGGTAAAAGAGGCTAAAACACACATCTACCTTTTTGGATAGGCTTGCCTAAACAAAAATGTTTTAAGGCAGGCTTCCTTAAACTCGGCCCTCCAGATGTTTTGAGACTACAATTCCCATCATCCCTGACCACTGGTCCTGCTAGCTAAGGATCATTGGAGTTGTAGGCCAAAAACATCTGGGAGGGCAGAGTTTGGGGAAGCCTGTTTTAAGGGATGGCAGAAAGAGTACAGCAAAGGTGCTTGCCTGATGCAGACAGACAGGGAGTTCGAAAGTGTAGATGCTGCCACATGGAAACAACGGTTTCTTACAAAAGGATCAAACCTCCTAACAAGAAACACGGTGGAAGGCAAAACAACAACAACAACAACAAAGCTAGCAGTGGATGTGCAAAGCAAACAAAGCATTAAGAAAGAGTGTTTTGTTTTTTATGAGTAAGGTGCTAAAATTTGATTGACAACCAAGATATCGAGAGTGCTAGGTAGACTAAAGTAACAGTAATTCTTGAACTAGCATACAAGTAGTTTTGCAGAGCAGATAATCCCTGTTCGCAGTGTGTCCCTTTCCCTATATCCATTCAGAAGAGGCCCAGGTTTTAAAGATTACTTTTCATCTGCACCTCACCAGATTTATGGAAAGGCGCTTGACAGCTGTGGACCCTTAACAGAAAAACTCTCTTTTCTCCTACTGCAACGTTCATTTGTGTTGTTGACAGTCCCATTGCATCTAATGCATTTCCAAGTGGTGTGGGGAATTGTTTCACTAAAGCGATTAAGGATTTGTCCTTTTTTTGAGATAAGCTGGGTTGTTTTTCGTTGTTTTTTTTTAAAAAGTGTTACAACTGGTGATCCACACAATCTCTGAGCCCGTCTTGAGTGTAGTTAAACTCTAGCAGATCCTATTGTCCTATAACATTGCACACAGGAAAAAAATAGCATAGTGCTCTTTATATCTTGTTCCTATGATTCTTTACTATTGTGCTTTTCCTTTCCACATGTAGTTTCAGAAGATGGAACCCTGCAGAGAAACCTCCCAGCTTCTATTTATTTTACAAGCTGGAAAACTGCCAGTGTTTGAATTTGATGGTGGCAAACATTCCAACCTAGTGACCAATAAATCTCCCTCCTCCTGCTAATTACACAGTGCTTGGTTCACTGGCTTTCCTGCCATCTGATTGGACAGCCTCTACATTCCATTACCAGTGACTCACCTTATGCTGGGCAAGCTGCATCTTAATTTTGTCTGGATCATTTGCAATTTCAAGCTCTGCATCCAGAGTCTTTTCTGAATCATCCAGCCATTCAGTAAGTTTGTTCCAGGCTTCATGGAACTGTGGAAAAGCAAGATTTTCAATTACATACATTGATAGGCATAGATTATGCATTCAAAACATTCAACGCACATTTAGCTTTGAATATATATTAAGGGTTGCATTCAGTTAGGTTTCACTCAGAGTGTATGCACTGAAATTAATGGGTCTAAGTCAGTCATGTCTACTAATTTAAATGGGGAGGGGTGCAGGGTAGGTGAGGACGGGAAGTCAAGTTGCATTGGCAGAACTCATGGTGCTGGCTTCCACTGGTGCAACAACTTCGTTGAATCAGGCCCACAATATTAAAAGCCAGGCAATCCAGACTGGACTCACACAAATAAATGTTGGACCAAAGGACTATTTCCTTTTTAAAGGTAAAGGTAAAGGGACCCCTGACCATTAGGTCCAGTCGTGACCGACTCTGGGGTTGCGGTGCTCATCTCGCTTTACTGGCCGAGGGAGCCGGCGTACAGCTTCTGGGTCATGTGGCCAGCATGACTAAGTCGCTTCTGGCGAACCAGAGCAGCTCATGGAAAAGCCGTTTACCTTCCCGCCAGAGCGGTACCTATTTATCTACTTGCACTTTGACGTGCTTTCGAACTGCTAGGTTGGCAGGAGCAGGGACCAAGCAACGGGAGCTCATCCCGTCGCAGGGATTCAAACCGCGACCTTCTGATCAGCAAGTCCTAAACTCTGTGGTTTAACCCACAGCACAACCTGTGTATTTCCCTTTTAGAGTGACGCAAATTATTTGAAATTTCTCTGGGATTGCTCAGTCAGCAGAGTATAAGACTCTTAATTTCAGGGTCATGGGTTCAAGCCCCATGCTGGGAAAATCCAAGACTTCCAACCTCTATTGACACAGTGACATATATACTTGACCAGGAGTGGCCCTTTCTGGCCCGAGGGCCACTCTGAGGGTTGCTGAACCCTTCAAGGGCCACATACTCTCAGCAGAAATGCAAATAACATGCTGCCACCCATGCACCCACCACATGTAGAAACATACACTATACATACACACAACATACCCAGAGGTCAATAAAACATGCATACTGTTTTTCTGCCAACATCAGTGCCAGACTAGGAAGAGGGGATCCTTTCCTCCTAGCCCAGGGCTGGAATGAGAACAAGAGGCCCCTAGTTATCCTGCCAATGTGCCTCTTCTCCTTTTGGCGAGGAAACATTGCAAGCAGGACCTGGAGCTCAGGAAACAGAAGGAAATGCTTCTGTTCTTGTTTCTTGAGTTCAGTGTCCTACCTCTGGCATTACAGCAGAAGGAGAAGAGGGACCGTTGCTAATAAGTGGAGGAAGAGGTCCCAAATTCTCTGGGGGCAAGTAAGTTGCCTGACATAGCCTCATGGGTCCCATGTGATCCATGGGTTTGCCACTCTTTCCTTAGACACACTATCTTGTTGGGATGATTCACACATACAATAAAGTGCTGTTGTGAGGGTACTGCAATCATGCAGAGACAGTACTTCCTTATTTTTTATATGGGATGTTGTTTTGTTTAAAAATACCCCACATGACAACTGCAGCCCACATGAAAAACTAACACACATAATCAAAAGTTTGAGTTGCCTGCCTCATGTAGCGATCTCTCTGTCCCACCAAAATATGGGCTCTGATTTTCATCCACCTCCTCTACACATACAAAAAACCCTGAAATGACATGGTCCCTACACAGTCATATCCCTTTGATAATGAGCCTCAGCCTAAGTTGAAACTACAAAAATGTTGAGAAGGCTAGAAGCACCCATGTAGAGAGGTTGCAATTTGTTTCAGAAAATGGTGGATTAATGAAGATGATTGTGAAAAATAAAATAAGGATGAACTTCCCATGCAAAACAGGAACACTGCTAATAAACATCTGCATCCATATACTACTCTGTTGCTTGGTTGGAAAGTAAAGACCCTACTTTCACTTTTGGTGCCGGGCCTGAAGAAACAGCTATTCTGGCTCCCACTACTTGCCAAACCTGTTGATCTAATATTCCAGTTTCCTTTATATGACTTAGAGTCATCACACTGTTCATTTAAACATGGGTTTAGTTACAGCAAGGTTATGCTCAAATTGTTATGGAAGACTTGCCACATTACCTGCTTGGCACGCTTCCTTGCATCATCCAAAGCTCTTCCTCTTTCCACTAAGCGCTGAACTACTTTTTCCCATCTACTCTGGACACTGATCAGCAGATTTTTAATGAGGACAACGTCCTGTTTCTGGCTGAAGTATTTCAAATGTGTTCCAGTTTTGTCCAGCTCAATAATCTGGTCACGGTGGGCATTCACTTCATTGGCAAAGACCTTGTGAAAGAAAGAAAAAAGATAATATTTGAAAAGCTTCAGAGTCTTCTAGCACGCAGATATATACCTAAGAAGTGTTATGCACTGCTTTATTGGTCAGAGACACTATAAAATGTCACTTTAAAAAACTGTAAAATGTCTTTGGATTTTAATGGTGCTGGCTTGCTTTAAACATTAATACAAGCCAGCCAGCCTGTGGGTCCAAGGAACAGGAAGAAGAAAGTTGCGCATCTGTTGTTGTTTCTGTACATACCTTGTGTTCATCAATTTGAAATAAGACAGTATCCAAGATAAGACTTGGCCGAGAAGCTACTGTCAAGGTTTGCTCAGCTTGAGTAAGCCAGTTGATGAAGTCCTGCAGTGAGTTGTGGAACTCCATTGCCAAATTGAGAGCTTCTTCCAGTTTGATCTGTAAGAACACACCATAAATTAGCAGCAGTGGACAGTTTATACTAGAAACCATATAAACTTTATAGAGAAATAAACCAAACCATGTCTGAATGTAATTTGGAAGAAGGCCACTGTTGTCCTGTTGCCTTCGCCCCCCCGTTTAATACTGGTATGCTCTGAATATTTAAACGGCACACAAGGAAAGATATTTCTAAAAATATTTCAGCAGAAACTGACAAAACAGAGAACCTACAAGGACTGAGCAGGCAGAAGAGCATCCAATGCCACATACAGATTCCTGCCACTCAGTGCTAAATGATGAGCCTTACAAGTATTCAGACAGTAATCCAGGAACATCATTTCAGCTTTGATTCTGCTTGCATGAAAAGGGGATGATATGTGGTTGCATTGCATGAAGGATTAGGAAGATAAAGTTGGGAATTTGCACTATGGAGACTATCCTTTTTTGCCAAATGTAGGTCTAGTTCAGACAACTTTGGGGCTGGCAAGTCTTTGTGCAGAACAGAAGCTACCCCCCTCTCTTCCACCATACAGATTACTGCCGTTTCAGATGTTATGAGAGTGAGTCTTAAGCTCCTGTGCTCCCCACTATGGCACAGTCAGAACGAGAAATTCAGGAGGTTTCATTTTTATTTATTTATTAACTATAGCCTTTCATAGCATCCAAACTCATGTGTTTAATTTTAACTATGGCTTGCTGAAATGAAGGAAAAAAAAATAAGCCATAGTTTAAGAAGCTGTCTTGTTTATGCAGTTTATGGTTCCGATGCCGCGCTAAACAGTGATTGATCCAAAATGGAAGTGGAAGCTTTCGATTTTCTCCTCGGGGCTGCACTGGAGGAGAGGGGAGCGAACAAGGACTCACCTAGATTGTATATGCAATATAACAGTATCCTACCAGATGGCGCTGTGGAGTCCCGTTTTCTCTACCTGTTTTCCCTGTTTAAATTTACAATGCATTTAACTGAAACACTTCTTTGATGTGTCTAGAGGCTAGTCTGAGGCTAGCTGCGACTTAAGTTTTGAGGCTAGCTGCGACTTATGCTAAGCAATGGTTTAGTGATATAATGTGAACTGGGGCCCTTTCTCATATAGCTTAAGAATATAACATGTTGGGTGTCAACATGGTTTGTCCACAATATCATACGTAACCAGGCCAGGCCATCTAATACAATTGAAACAATCCTTTAAATTTACATTATATGAGTATGCAAATACTCCTTTTTCCAAGAATGGCTTCATTTGTTTGTTTAATCATTTCTGTTTCTTATGAACACATTTGTATTTCAGCTGTTTCAAGATGTAATTTATAGTCTGGCTCAGAGTAAACTGTTTATCTATGTTTGGAGTATATTTTATTTTTTTACAAAAGAATGTCCACCCCCATGGAAACCCATAGCTATGAGTAAGATGCTTATCCAGGAATATGAGGTCGCCTCCCAGAGGGCACGAGAGAGGCCTCATCACTTAAAACTTTTAAGAACTGCTATGTTCAAATGCCAGCAATAAAATTAAAGCATCAGTTCCAAGCTGACAGGATGATGGACTGGGTGGCTAGAAAGGATTTATTCATTCCTTAGGTCTGTGACCTATAGACTACAATAGGAGGTGTTTTCATTTACAAACATTGGTCTGCTGCCATGTAATTTATTGATCAGCTTTTCCAGATGAATCATGGTGTGTGACATCATTTACAGGTTTAATTGCATGGATCCCTAGCGCCTGCTAAAATGAAAATTCTGTATTTGCAATATTCTAATATCAAGACACATTTCAGAGAATTTCCCCATGTTCGATATGCAACATACTTTTCTTTCACTCAGCTTTGTTTCCACTGATTCCCATTTCTCTTTAAGATTATTTATGTCCTGCTCAACATTTGTTTCAATAGTCTCTAGGCATCTTGCAAGCATCTGTAGGCCCTTTTGCATCAGACTCTTGTATGTTTCTTCTTTAGCTTCAAAGGCAGCACAAAGTTCCTAAACAAAGAGGGAAAGTATTGCAAATCGTTAATGCATAAACATTTATTCGAAAATGTTACCCCCCTAAAAGTTTCACATATTGCTTTAAACATGCTAGCTATATTTTGGGGAGTTAATGTGAGTTGAACAAAGGAGGTGCCACTGTGCATTTCCAGACCTGGGCAGTCTGCAGCCCACAACTAATTTCCAGGGGCATGGATATGCCACTTCTCCCTTCCCTCTCCAGGTTCAAAAGAGAAGCTAAAAAAAGGGCTGTTCAGAACACAAGAAATAGCCCAGTAAAATCTGATTTATTACTTGTGTGTGTGACAGTCATAAGCTTTGGCCTGTGTCCTTAAATTTCTGCGTGAAATGAACCATCTTACCAGGCCATGGTGATCAAAGCTGATTGAAAATGAAGGCATAACCACAGAAGATTGTGAAGCTGCATACAGAAAAACCCTCCAGCTACGCTTTGCATCTCCGCCAAATATGTACTTATCGTCTAAGTTAGCTTTTCTAAGAAATATACACCAAGGCTGGGGTGCAAAGAAAGGCAGTTTGTGTGCCTTGTTTGCCTGGGGCTGGCTGTTTTATTTTTAAAGCTGTTTCATTTAAAAAGGAAGTAGAAAAGCTTTCTCCCACACGTGAGTGCCATTTCTTTACATTCCAGACCTTGGTTGCAATGCTGCACATGCTTGCAGCACCACTGAATGATAACCTAAATCTGAACCTAGTTGCAGTTAAGAACTTAATCTTATATTCTAAGTACAAGAGGGCAGGCAACTGTTAATGAGGTTTTGGCTCTGAACTACTTCATTCAGACACTGAAAAGAATACCATTGTGCTGTCTGGTAACTTAGAGTACAGTCTTTGCCTCTGTGTACTGGTAACATGAGTTGTATTGATGAGGCAGGAAATAATAAATGGAGAATGTTCTGCAATCATTGGCTAGCTTTTTAAAAAATGTTCTAACAAAAGCTAAGGAACAATAGAATAAGCTCTCAAATTTGAGACTGCAAGTAAATTCAAAAACAATCTGGTTTAAAGAAGAGGACATACAGAAAAGGAAAAAAGAAAAACTCAACTGTCTGAGCAGTTCTCAGCATTATTTTACAGGGAAGAAAAAGACTTTAATGGTATTCTTGATGAC